CGTTCACTCAGATTTGTTAAGGGCGACAGAGCGCAAGAATCGGCGAGGCCACGGCAGGTCTGTGCTACCTCAAATCAGAATTCGGTCTTAACGGCATGGTCCGCGACTTCTACTTTGGACCCGTGCACCACGACGTATCGCGTTGGCCATGAGTGATTCAATGGAAGGCGCACCTGCTGCCGCAGCTACGTGATGTGGAGACTAGTATGCCAGGAAGCGCAAAAAGGAAGCAACGTGTTCTTGGTATCAACGCTCATATCATGTATGGTAAGCAGGCTAGAGCCAGTAGCCCACCAACTCAAGGCTGATTGTCCATGCGGGGGGCTTAACAACGCAGTAGTGCAAGGCGGTTCTGAGCATGCATGCGGTCAAAAGTGTTTCTGAAATCTTACTGCATACTAAATCCGTTGTTCCAGACCCATTCGGGCTCAATAAGTTGCTCAATCATTCTTAATTAACGCCAGAGAGCTCCATGGAATCGCTAGAAGTACCATTACAGGTAGGATACGAAGTTCGCTATGGTTTTCGGTATGCCTTTTTGACCCGCTTGCACTTTACCCATTTTATGACCACCATGAACCATACTGAGGCAGATAAATAGACAGGGAACACCAACCGCACTCTTCTGCAGTTTTTGCGACTCAATGCGCAACAAAATCAAATTGCTTGGCTTGATGCTCTTCCTCTTGCTGAGTGGGCTCGTCGTACGACAGTACACTCTTCAATTCGTTGCTATCCCGCATCCCCGTGCCACACTATGGAGCCACTCTTCCATCCGAAACTGGACCTGGTGAACCCGTGTCAGCAGCTACCCCTTGCGGTAGAGGGATTATAAGGGCAGCTGGCTGGTCCATGCGGATGTATGCGCAAAGCTCAAGAGATATAAACATGAAAGTACAAACGGCGGTTGACTGTGTGTTCTAAGCCTGTCCATTTCGTCCTGGTGAATCGGTAGGCATTACAGGATGCACCTAAACGTAAGCAGACAAAGATGTTTGCAGCCAAGTGATTCTTTTGGATATGTTGTTTCTTGGATTTTTCTGTACTTCTTTGGTGGCTTTGACGACTATGCTGCATGCACCTCCTACATTGACACGAACGCAGTGCTCTATGGAACGGGGAGCACTACTGAGGTAATATGGGTTTTGATTTGCTGTACACAATTTTTGGTGTCGCTTTTTCACAGCACGAGGCTCAAGCAATTTAGCCTTCTGACGACAAAGAGCCATTGCGTCACCGCAGTAGTGTTGGTTTGGTCCCTCGTTGGTTGTTGGCTAATTAGCGTGCCTTTACCCCTTGCTGGCGCACACATTTCCTCCTCATTTGCAAAATATTTGCATTTATGTCTTTTTAAAGAGTGTAAATAGGGCGGGAACTCTTTCGCTCGTCTGAATGATAGGTAGGGAACACTAGGGCCTGTGTTTTGACATGGAGGTGGTGGAAGATGTGGCGGGCTATGCTACACCTAAACACTTTCCACAACACTAGCTATACTTAGATAAGCATTAGTAAACAATTGACATAGATGTCTAATTGTATAGGTGCCATTCTAATAAAAGAGGACAAATTGTCGTGAGCATGTGCCCTGGACACTTTAAAAAATTATACAGCTAGCTGTGCATGCTCCGAGTGCATATATGGTGCAGCTACGCGCACCCTAGGTGTTCCTCTGTACTCGTGTTATAAATTCTGAGGGGTGATGGTAAGGAAAATTAGAAAACACTGGTCAGGAACACTTGGAAACCTCTAGTTCGCTTCTATTGATTCTGGTGTTGAATTTCTCCTTACGATAACCCAGTAAACCGCTTTTCCCTATAGCTTACTTCTGAACTGTTTTGTGCTTCCTTTGCTTCATGTGGCTTTTAGTTCAACGTTTCTTCTCCGTTTCTCGGAAAAAAGAATTTGAGCTGATCAAATGTACGGCTTGTCTTTGCCTTCAAGCCACAGAGTTCTGCCCCTCAGCGGATTAAGAAAAACCAGCGTGCAGTGGTTTTCAGTTACAATGTGTAAACCTAGCTACTAGGCACGCATTCTGGGCTCCACAATAAATATAGTGTTTTTCGCATTAGACGACCAGAGCCGCCAACAGCAAGCCCGACAATGAATGACCCTATGGGTGAAACTTTGATACAAGCTTCGTAACAACCTAGAACGTTGCATTGCGCCTTGTTTGGCACTGCATTTTGGTTGCACCGGATGAATACTACCAGTCTGTCATGCGATGTTCTTTGTTCCCATGGAATAGCCTTTAATCGGTATGGGTACCCTTTAAAAGCGAGTTCAAATTTCCTCAGGTGTTGTCTTCTTCCCTGGAAGCACGGAAAACATATTGGCATTTGCTTGGTTTATAGTACACATTGGGCTTTTCGTCCCTTCTGAGAAATCCAATCCCCCTGCAATTGCATTAAATGATAGTTTATAGCTATAGAAACCTGAAACTTTCCTGGAAGTGAGGAGTTTGTTCTCTGGTTCTGTTAGTGGTGTGCTTGCACAATGTTGTTGGACAGCCCACGGCCTCTCGGTGCGTAATTTTTCTTATACATAAAAGTAACTATAAAACTGAAGCAAATCCCAAAGTTTTATCTTTTAAATTGGATATTTCGGCTAAAACGACAAAAAAAACTGATGGAATAGCTGGGGTGGCGTCAGACTGGTGTTTGTGCTGTACGCGCTGCTCTCGCGACACAACCAAGGACCCTGAACTTTGATGACTGTCTCATATTCCCCTCATTGGTAGAAAACACTCCAAATCCCTTTATTAAGCTGAATGTTGATGATTATAGGGGAGTAGAAAGCTGGTTTTCTTCAATCTTAGGCCATGAGCCTGCCCGGTTTCTTGCGCTTGCTGCGCTCTCTGCGCGAGTCACTCCTCCCCTTCGGCCGGCCGGTCCCTTTGTTGCGGGAAGACGCAAAACAACAGAGTTACACCTCAAACAGCGGCTTGAAATCTCACAGTTTAAACTGAAATTTCATATTTTGGGGATTTCCCTGCAAATGATGGATTTTCAAGAGATGGATAAGCCTTCCTTATCTGCAGATGAAACCTGGTTCCCTAGGCCAATTCAAGCCCAAAGGGATGCAAAATTACGAGTCTTCTGCTTTCATGGGGCTGGTAAGAATCGTATATGCCCATACAAGAGGGTATTCGAAGCATTAATACTCGAAGGAACAGCACAGCGTTAACAATAACTGGGACCACAGTAAGAGCAGTGATCAGGAGTTAACAGCAACAATAGTGCCACGAAAGGCACTTCTTATAATGAGTGCTTCCCCTTTTTCTTCTCCTTCCTCAATTTCTAGCTCAAGATTGGATGATAGAAGATCAACGCCTGCTCTTCTTTTTCTGGTTGCATCTTTGCATTCCACTCCTTTCCTTCCTTGTACTCCGTGTCTCTCCTGCATCTCCCTTCCACGAGCACTCTTCAGCTTTAAGCCATCATTCTCCTTACCTTCATAAATCCATCAGCGTTGACGCGTACTCCCTAACATGTGTCTCTGTCTCATCCTCCCTACCGTTAAAGTTTGACATTTAACACGAAGCCCCAAGAAACTGGCCATTAAGTACCCCACTACGCCCTAAACCCAAGTGTTCATCCCTTTCATTCCGTACCCCTTAATAAAATTACTTACGCAAATTGACTGTGTTCGATGATTAAGGGATGGAATCTTCAATTTGGACAAGTAGAGGGACTTCTCTTTCGCCGATGCCGAACCCTTTCATTGATTTGGCGCAAACAGACGCCGTTTGTTTCCTCGCAATCCAACTTCCATTCAGGGGACTGCGGCGAAAAGAAAAACATCCTGAAACTATCCAGGAAGCGGCTAGGCAGATACTGCAGGCCATGAAGCCCATGGTAAGATGATGGAAGATAAGAGAACGGTCAAAAGCCATTGCTGTATGATTCTAGTAATTTTTTCAAATGATATGTGTTTCATCCTCTTATGCTTGTGAAAAGAAATTTTCAAGTAGAATTTGGGCTGATATGCTTTGTCCTAACCGTGCTTCTCTTCAGCCAAAGGAGCAACAGTTTCTCCCCAAAGCCTCTCTGATGCTTGACGATAAAATTAAACTGTATCTCTTAGTAATTTTGATTTAATTTTAGTATAAGTGTTTTGTGGCTTTTCGCTCATGACAGCCGCCTAGTCTTTTTGTGTACCACTACTCTCTATCTCCTGGACCCAAAATCCCTCTGCAGATTATTCTCAAGACACTACGTAGTCGTTAACCTCTACTCATTTCTACATATATTGCTTGCTTTCTGGTTTCTCGCTTCGAGTGGTATCTCAGCTTTCTCCTGGGGAGTGTCCATATGTGCTGGTTGGCTATTCCATGGGCTGTTGGATCGCCTACGAGCTCCTATGCCTCGTGAAGCAGCAGGGCCTCCCTCTGCCGCTTCACTTTGTAGTTGCGGGAATGGTCAGCCCTGATCTAGAGGCTTCCAAAAGACCTTGGAAGTGCACGGAGAAACTAGACACGAAAGCCTTTCAGGTTAGAAGAATCGTTTGGCGGAAAGTGGTGGCCTGGTGTGGTGTGGCCTTCGCTGCTCCGTGCTCGGCTCAACTGAGGTGTTCTGATCCATGTAGCCATTTTGTCTCGTACGCCTCTCGTACAATTGTCTACTCTAAGCAAGACAAGTGTAACGGTCTCTTCTTCGTGCCATTTGATATCTTTAAGTTGCTTTCCTCACCAGACTTGGGACGGGGCGGGGTAAGGCCGTGAAACCACTCTCTGGTGAATGATTGGTCCGCCTCCTTTCGCGCTTTTAGTGTTTGTAAACCTGTCAACCTTTGTATCTGAGCTGCTCTTCTCTATCCCTTTCTATCTCTTCGCCTGTTCCAGGATCAGCTGCGCGCATGGAGTTGCAACGAGATCCTGTTCCAGAGGGATATGTGGACCGCCTACGAGCCTCTTCTGAGGGCGGATCACAACATGTTGGACAAATATCACTTCACCGACATGTGCGGCAGTCTCAGTGAGTTTGTCTGAAATACATTTGATATCCCTTCACACTGGCGTTTGCTTGCAAACACCAAGAGAAGCTGCTGCCTATTTCGCTTCCCTTTTGTGTAATTGATAAAGTGAATATACATATGTATGTAGATTTTATATATTGCATCGCTACCCTTCCTGCTTTCCCCTCCCCATTACGCCCGTCTTAGTTCTTCTATGGCTCGTTTTCCTCTCCACGCATCCACTTGCTTGCCCCAGTAGATGCACATTGCGCTGACGACTTTTGGTCCTTTGTTTGCTCCTGGAAAACTCTTTGCCTTGTCATCAGATGTTCCCTGCTCGGTTTTTCGAGGGAAGGACGACAAGCAACTCGACGACGATGCACTCTTCCAGGGTTGGTTTGCTCTCCTAGGAAACGGCGGCACCCATAAAAATGGAAGCTCCAACACGGAGAATGCCACTAGTGACAGTGGCGACGGCAGCAACAACAGCGATAGCGAGAACAAGTGCTGCAGCAACGGCAACAGGTACTGTAACACCGGCACTAATCCGCATCCCACCACCGTCAACGGCACCAACCACAAGCACAACAGCGTGAAGCTGTTGGAGGGAAATCACGGATTGATATTTGATGCGGAGAGGAGAAAAAAATTTTTCTCGCACATTGTCGATATTCTTGACGGCCTCCTACTAAACATTGAATATGGGCATTGAGAGGCAAAAACACAGCGAGGAGACAAGTAGAGCAAGCCCTTGGAAAAGGGAGATTTAGAGAATGCGGGTTCGTAAGCTTAGACAGCTAGACCCGAGGTGAAGCTGCAAACACGGGCCGTGAGGGCAAGACCCTATTTGCCCATCCAGTGGTCTTGTGCTTAACCAAACGAGAAATGCGCATCACCTTCCCTCCTACATGCTACAATGAAATGAAAGGAAGTGTCTACGCGGCGAAATTCCAATAATGCCAATGCAAAAAGGCTGAAAAAGGAAGCGCCGCCATCCCCGACAGGAGTGAGGGGCTACATCATCAATCCAAGCTGCCAGCTTTCCCCCTCAAACCGTTGACTTTGCTGCAGCGGAATTTGCCTATAGGGCGCAACACCCCCGTTGCCACTAACGCAATGTGCATATGACTTCCTTAGCTGCGAAAGGGAAGCTGCTTTGGGCTTTGCCTATGCCCACCAACGGCGCCGTGACCCGTGAGGCTGCCTCTACCAAGGCGAGTGCGCAAGAAACAGACTCTGTTTGATTGCCTGGCAAACAGCCGTATATACACTATAGATCGCGCGGGGGTTTTGCTCTTTCAGGTTTCTGCTTAGCAGAGCTGCATCGCTAGGGGGGCGGGGAAATATGGGATTTTCTAGCCCTGCTGGCTGCCCTCGAGCACAGAAGAGCGCTATTCTGGCATTTCAGGCTCTCTCTCCGTTTCTATGCTTCCTTACTTAAAAGGCGTAAGCGTCTGGTGGATAGTGAGGTCGAGAAAGGGAATGTAAAGGAATTTGGGTTCAGAGGCAGCAGCGGGCTGTTGCAGCAACAGTTACTGCCACGTCTTGCTGCACGCCTAGTTGCAACAATGGTTGAGGCCAGCGTTCTTCTTGAGCTTAAGCTGCCTGTCCTCACAGATGGAAAGCCGAATACCCTTGTCCTTTGGAAGCGAGACCATGGGTTTATCGCCCTTGCCAATGACGAAAACGTTGCTAATCCTAGTGGCAAACTCATTTCCTCTGGAATCCCTAAGATGGACTATATCGAAGCTTCCCAGATGGCGGTCTCGATGCATAATCGTACCCACACGCCCAACGTTGTGACCGCCCGTCACCATCGCCAAGTTTCCGACCTCGAACTTGTACGTATCCAGGATCTGCAGGCAAGCAATAAGACAGGAGGGGCAAGGAAGGTATCGATGAACATGTGCCAGGATTATCCGCTAAGCCAAAGATACTGTGCTGCAAAGTGGGCGCCAACGAAACGTCAAAAAGCCCGAAATGCACACTCCAGCACCAAAAGGCATTCCATTAATGTCAAAAAAACCACAATGTCGCGCGTATATGAAAATGAAAATACCGGAATCAACAAGGTACGGGGGAAGAGGGCAGACCAAGAATACGGGAGGGGCATTACGGTGCGTGAATACTCACCTTGGAATCGGCGATGTTGATTCTGACAGTGTCGTGTACCTTGATATTTGGATGAGGGAAGCGGATGGTTCTTGCGTCATGAGTGACCAGCATAGGAATGGCTTTAGGGCCGACAAGCACCTTCTTTACCCTGCAAAGCTTGTACGTGGCCTCCTCGGAGGTAATGGCGCGAGGCACAAAACGTCCCTTGGTGTCCAGAAGAAGGCGGAAATGCTGCTTCGTCTTGTCCAGAGAAACAACATCCATGAAGCCTGCAGGGTAGCACTGGTCGGTTCTCACCTTGCCGTCCACCTTAACCAGCCGCTGCATAACAATCAGCTTGGTCTCGTGGTATGTCAATGCATACTTCAGACGGTTGCGGAGAAGAATTGCCAAAGGCAGACATTCCCGCAGCTTGTGAGGACCTACATCCAATCACCCAACGACAAAAGAACAGACACAAGCTCTAAAGTCAATGCATTACTCAAAGAAGGCAACGGGGTTAAATCAGACGCTACAGGAACAAAATGAGTATGGGTCCTTATAGTCAGTAATCCCCGCTACGGTGAGAAAAGCTAGAAACCAAGAAGAGATACCCAGTAACCGAAAAAAATATACGGGGCCATTCTTATACCTGGGGATGGACGGGGTGCATACTGCCCAGTGACTTTGTTGAGCATCCAGTGAGAAGGGGCGGCAAGCCGCTTCATGTGCTTCTTAGGTCCGCGCGCCTGCAACAGTAAAAATTAGCAGCAAATATGAATCGCCAATTAAAAGGGAGCAGCAGGTTACTGGCTAGAAAAGCGGACACGCGCCAATGAACAGCCGAAACTTCACTTGCCGGCAATGAAACAGGAGACACAAGTGCAGACTTCATGACCCAGCTAGTCTTGCCCCTCGGAAAACAGAAAATGTACAAACAAGGCAAATGACAAGGGTCTATAAATTCATACACAATACTACAATGTACTGGCGCATTGCGGCAGGCAAGAAGGTGCACGACAACTCATCCACGAGCTCATCCTCTTGTTGCTAGCTTGCGATAAATCCAACATTTGTGTTGACTCAATTTAAAACTATTTCGATACAAAGAAGATAACAAAAGAAGGGAGGCCCCCACATGCAGTGGGGAGGTATCGCTGCCGCCATGGAACAACAAGAGCGGGAAAAAGCCCTCCGGCAGTTCCCTGATCATTAAAGAGAAAATCTCCGTGAATTGATCAGACTTATATATGAAAAGTTCCCATAGTTTACTATCTGTCGACACTTTCCGCCTTGTAGGAGCAGCCCTGAGATGATAATACGCCCCACGAGCAGCAGTTCGCTGAAAGGAGGGAAGGACGTCGCCTCACCATTTTCCCGGTCTCTCACGCCATAGAATCAAACGCGAACCAAAACGCGAAGGCGAAACAGGCACTCAAAATATGCTGGCGGTGTTGTAGCAAAAAGCCCACGCGGCACCACACAGAAGGGGTGTGTATAGAGCGCAGCCCCACTTCAACGGACCCCACCAGTGCATGCAGGGTGCATCTATATTGCCTACTTTACCATAATGGATTCTCCTTCGGTCACTTTAACTTCTGTGAAAACAGTGTGATACAGCCTATGATATGTTGATCGAAAACACCATTTTGCTGCTTTTGATCGACATAAAAAGCAATTCGGGCTCCTTCACCTTTCTGGCTCCATACTTTTGGTATAAGGTGATCATTAACTGATAATAACCTTCCAAGTGTATATGCAGATTCTCTCACAGGCAAAAATATGGAGGATGAGATATGAGTCTCTCCATACTGCAGACCCCGCGCATTGACGCCAGTGTACCTGTGCCTGGTACAACATAGAGTGCCTCGTCGGGCCCTCGGAGGGGGGTACCTAATTTCAGGCTGGATAAAAAGGCTTAGTTTAAAATATTCGAATATCCTTGAACGGGAGGTACCACATTTTCTTCCCCTCACCCCCCAGGGCTGCGGCATTGGGGGAGATGAACAGTCAGGAAGCACGCAAGCCACTATCTAACGTAACGTCTAACACTCCGAGGGAGGAACTTAAACCCAGGCTCGATGCAAACTCAATAGGAGCATAACAAGTGCCTCTCAAAGAAAATCCGCCTTACTCTGCTCGTGGCCTGCAGAGCTCCCGATATTGGGGGAGAAGGACAGCTCAAGCGCAACGGGCTATGCTACTCTTTAACACCTTCTACCAAACTATTTATATTTGACTAGGAGTTAACATTAGCTGTACCATTTGGCTCGTTTGTTTTCATCTAGTACATTTTGCAGATTGTTGTCAGCTCAAAAAACAAGACACATTATTGTGTGCATGGGCACTACATGCTGCTTTCACACTGGCTTTAAATGGTTGGAGTGCTTGAAAAATGCTCCAGCTGTCCTCCTTCATATCAAGAACCCTGTGGGGTTCGGGTAGGAGAGGGAGGGACTCGGTTTGGAAAACACTAAATAAATTCCTACTAAGTTTGTATACAGTCTAAAGTCAAAACGACCCCCTGCAAGCACCTTATATATATTGGCACAGATGCTAGCACGTCTTGTCCCGACACACCGGTCCCCCCCTGAGACAATGGTCATAGGAGCTGTGGCTGAGTCACGTTTCCGTACGACACTTAGCTGGTTTCAATCACGTCATTTGGTACTTGAACGGTCTGACTTTCCTTGAAAACATGCTGAAAGAAAAATGGCCTCTGTTAATGACATCAGACGAAGATGCAACCCCTGGTAGGTAGGCAGAGGCGGGCCTGCGAACTGATGTGAACGTACTACCTCCACAGCTGGTGGGAGCGCATAACTTGTCAGTCTATTAAATGCTTGTGGATGCATCAAGGGGATCATACCAACCAAAAGGCATGGCAGCTGTAAGAATGGGAAAGTGCTCGGAGATTTCATTTGTCGGTTGGGAAAGATCTCGCTTTGCAACATCCCCATGATAAGAAACGAGCTCTCCTTGAGGCATGCTTGTTGGAAAGAGAAGCAGTTGAATGGTGGTGTATTCATGCACAGAAAGTCGTGTGCCTGCAGGAATGACTACATTTCACGCCTACATACATGCCCCAGCTC